AGTTCTGCTTTCAATTTGCTAATTCTGTCTTCCATTGATTCAGTTCTACTCTTCTGTCTTTCCAGTGCATTATGAACTCTGAAATTTTAGTTTTCATCTGGAATTCCATTTTTTTTTGTTTGTTTGTGTGAATGGTTTCTAATTTTACATTTATTTTGCCAGTTGTTTCTTATATTGCTTAACCTGAATTCTTCTAGAGTTTTGTCTGTGTCCCATAATTTTATCTACTAGTTTCTTGGTTTTATCTTTTTTTTTTTTTTTCCCTTGATATCTTTCTTAATTTTTTTTGTAAAGTCCTCAATATAATTCTTTTGAATTCCTTTTCAGGTAGTTCCTATACCATTTCTTCCTCAGAATAGTTTTCTGGTTCTGTATTTTGGTCACTTTTTTGAGCCACTGTGCCTTGTTTCTTTCTGTGAACCAAAGTTTTCTATTGTCTCCAAGACATTATGGTGTTATTGTATTTGTATTTAATTGTTTATTGTATGTTGACATCTTTCACCCAGGCTTTTTGCTTTGTTTTGTTTTGATATATCTAGCTGTGCATGACTGAAAAAAAACAAACAAAAAACTACTCTACTCACTAGCGTGGAAGCACTTAGTTTCTCACCATCTGTCTCCCAGTGGGTGTGGTAGAGGATGTTAGTATGTGCATACTTCTCTGTTCACTGTTCATGTAGAAGAGTTGAGGGTGGGCTAGATGGGTGTTGTCAGTCATCTGTTGTTGATGATGTTATGCTGAAGTGGATGTGGGCACTTATCCAGTGCATCAGTGGTTGGAAGGTCAGATTTGGTTGGGTTATATGGACATGGTTTCTGACTCCCACCAAGTTGACAACAAAAATATGAAAAAATAAAAATAAACAAGAGAAAGATAAAGGAGAAGCACAAAAAAAAATGGGAAAAATAAAATAGAAAAGAGAAAAAGGAAAGAAAAAATCAAGGAGAATGTTTGTACAGTGGAGACAGAACACCAGTCCTCAGGAGCATGCTTTGCTGACCATGGAGGTAGCAGAGGAAGGGGTGCCCGGTCTGCAGTGCTGCTCTCTGCTAACTGAGGAAGCAGCAGGTGTGGGTTGTCTGATTTGCAGGAGCACGTGCCTTGAAATGTTAGGGTGGCATGTACACAACATCTGATCTGCAAGAATGCACCTTGTCAACTTAAGATGAGGCATGGGCAGTGTGTGGGGGGGGTGTTACACTGCTGCTGGCTGGGTAGGGATGTAGGGTGGCTACATTTCTCATCACCAGGTAGGTTTAGGGTGTACGAAGATCTCTGGTCATCAGCCACTGATGTGGGTGCTGGTGTAGTCCTATGTGAGAAGAGCTGGTTATCTGCTTCCTGTCTCAATTGGAATGGTGCTTGTAGTATGTTTTGGTTACTTCTTGAAAATCCAACAGAAATACCACAGGTGGATGCCTTTAACAAACAGGAGTTTATTCTCTTAAGTTTTGGAGGATAGAAGTTTGAGTTCAAAGTGCTAAGCTCTGGGGTCTGTGTGAAAGGCCCTGGGCCTTGGGCTTCAGCTCTTCCTCCTTCTCTTGGCCCTTTGGAGCTAGAGGTGTCTCTTCACTCAGGCAGCTGCTGGCTGCTGAGGTTAACAAGCCCTAGCTTGACTAATAAAAATAGCACAGTCCCAATATTACCAAACAACCTGGCAGGCCACTAATTCAAGTCCAGCGATAGTCCTAAGATCAGCAGGAAACATGGTAGGCTGTTAAATGAAGACTTGTCTACATTCAGGGTCCAAGCACACCAAAAAGCTCAGAGACCTTTCTCCACACTTCTCCTTATACGCTGGAAGCAGACCACATCTCTAAGGCAGCTACTCAGCTGCTCCAGTAGATTCCACCATGGAGTTGATTACCAATCTCATCATGGGGAATAACTACATTCAGCTGCCCAGCCACTCTAAACCAGGCCCAACCAGGTTGACACATAACCTTAACTACCACATGGTGATCTGAAATGGCCACACTGTTCTGGGCCACATGATATTTCCCCACTCTGTTTGTCCCCTTTTATGCTGTTTTCATTCAGTTGCTTCTTCTAATGAATATTTGAGCTGCTTCTTTATCCTTGCTGTTGAAACTTGTGTTTCCAGGATTATCGCCCATATCTGTTTTACTTGGTTTCTTAGGTCTTTATTGTATGATGTCTGGGTGGCATGTCCACCTAGTCTACCATCTTGCCTTTCTCATTTATTTACATTTTTTAATTTGTGAATCATTTTTTAAAATATTGTCATCCTTGTCAAAGAAAGCTTTTAGATAATTATGAGTAAGTGATAAGGAATTAAGAAAAAGTTATTTTTAAAGGAATTTTAAATTGCTTTACACATAATAATATATTTAAAAGTCCCTAAGTGGTGCAAATTGTTTCTGCTCAACTGCCATCCTTTAGGATGAAACCCATCCTGTGGCACAATGGAAGAAGTGACCCAACAATTTGCTTCCAGTAAGATTACAGCCAAAAAACCCTATGGAACTGTACTACTCTGTAGCACATGGGGTCTCCATGAGTCAGAATCTATTTGACAGCAACTGACAACAACAACAACACAATATATTTACAGGCACATACACGAAAACACAGAAATCTTAAGTATATTTCACTTACACTGTGTTTTTAAATCATATTAATCTATAATCTGAACTTATATAGATGACTGGGGAAGATTTAGGCAGTTTCATAAAAGATATTAATTAATATAATGAGGAAAGTATTCAATATGGCTTTTGGAAATGTAATAATAAAGCACTTAGCCTGGCTTTTTGGAACTCAATGGTTATTTAGTTACTCAATCAATAGCAGCAGTCTATGACTTATTTAAAGATTTTTCATTTCTTATTTTTCAGCTTGACCATCTCTGCTGAGTGTCCAATGCAACTTGAAGACTTCCCAATGGATGCCCATGCATGCCCTCTGAAGTTTGGCAGTTGTAAGTTATTTTCACAAGTAAGAACCATGTATATATATTTGGTAACTTTCCATATTTTTCCCCAAAATTTTGGTTTGGTATAAGCAAATTTGGGCTCTGATCTTTTTGAGAAGATTGGAGAGTGTTGAAGGCATACTCATCTTTGCTATCACCTGGATGAGGCAAAGGGTTAAGCACTTGGCTACAAGCTGAAAGGTTGATGGTTTGAAACAGGCCTCACACTGAAAGGTGCCTAGGAAAATAGGCCGATCATCTGCTTCCAAAAGGTCATTTGTTGTTGTTGTTGTTATTTGCTGTTGAGTCAGCCCCGACTCATAGCGACCCCTCCTTAGGTTTCCGAGGCAGTATCACTACGGAAGTAGGATTGCCCAGTCATAGACTTGAAAATTACTCTATCTTGGTTACCAGTCAGAATTGACCTGGTGGCAACTAACAACAATAACATACATCACACATTAGAATAATGAGAATGAAAGCACTGTAAAATCTTCTTGTTTTCACATCTCAGATTAAAGGTCACTTCCTCAGTGTGCCCCCTTGAAGACTCAATTTTAAATGCCTAGCCAGTAACTTTTAAAACTTGCATTATAATCATTGCTATGTTGGCTTACCACTCTCTCTAAAATGTTCCATAAAAGTAAGGATATTTTCTATCATGTTTATAGTAACTGCTCACCCTGTACACACAGCAGGAATTATTCTCTATAACAGAGAATTGCACAAAATAATCATTCGGTAAATACATGTTGTTTGAACAAATAAATTTTACTTTGTCCAAGTACATTAAATAGACTGTTACTTAAATCTAGAACAAACTCCTGGATTCATCTGAAACTATTCCAGACAGAAGACTGCCTTCAGATATATATTCTTCTGAGATATTTGGTATAAGCAGGATGGGAACCTACGTAGGATTTCCTTCTTTATACTGTTTGTTTGTGCTCATATTATGTCTTTTTATTTATTTAAAAAAATATTTTACTGTATTTTTTTGTGAAAGTATACACAGCAAAACAGATTTCCATTCAATAATTTCTACATACATTGTTCAGTGACATTGGTTACATTCTTTACCTTATGTCAACATTTTCATTACCTCAATTATAGTTTTTCCATTTCCAATGACCAACTCTTCCTGCCTCCCTACCTTCTCGTCTGTGCTTTAGTGTATTTGTTGACCATTTGTTTGCATGTAGATGATTTTTTAAAAAAAGACTATAATACTCAAAGGTTATATTCATTACTTTATGAGATAACTTGCTATTTAGCTAAAAGGTGAATTTTATTGAGAAGATAGTCTCAATTCAAGGTTTAAACAATATCTCAGGGTAATAAACTTGGGGATTCCTCCATTCTCAATGGGTCCAGTAAGTCTGGATTAGATAAAATTATTATTATTTTTTTTTTCAATTTTGAATTCTGCTCCAATTTTCCTCCCATTCTGTCATGTACCATCTCTTGCCCAGATTAAAGATTTGGTAGTGATGTTTTAGTTTTGATAGCAGAAGCATGTTCTCTGAGATTAAATGCCACACTATCTGGATTTGAATCCTGGTTATCCTAAAAAGAATAAATTGAATGATTGTGGGTAAGTTACTTAACCTCTCTAAACATCCTTTCCTCATTTGCTAAATGGATATTATTCCTGAAATGTTTATTTTCCTAAGTATTACTGTTTCTCTGTTATACTTACTGCTTCAATTATTTTTCTTTTTAAATCATATTACTGTGTTTTTTTTAAAAAAAAAAAAAAACTTCTAGGAATTGGTATTTATATATTCTTTTTTGACTTTTTATAGTTAACTTTAAATGTTATAAGCATATTTAGTGCTTTTCTAGCAATATAAACAAATTGCCAATGTTTGGTTCAACAGCCCCCAACCATGAAAAAATGCTTAGTGTGTTTTAATGTGGCTCATTTCTTTATCACTACTTATATCCAATCTTATAGAAATTACCTGAAAGTTTAGTATTGGATTTTTTAGTTCTCCTTCCCTTCTCCCTCACTCCATACCTTCTTTCTTTTTAAATATTGAATTTATGGAATCAGTTCCTGACAATAATAGTAATTCTCCACATCCTTATCATAAAAATTTTAATAAACAACAACAATCCTCTACTTTGGCTGAATTATTGACAGCCTAATTGAAATTAAATAAAAGCATTTATTTCTGTACCTTAACTGTGCAATCTCATAATTTTTCAAAGAAAAGTATGTTCAAGGAATAATTTTCAAAATTAGATATTACTGCATGATTCTAAGTCAGAATCATTTCACTACAACCAAGTTGTATACAAAATACCTAGTTGTTTCTGTATATATTCCAGAACTGACTAGATTGAAATTTAGAGGTATTGTATGAAACAGGCTCTAAATCACCTACTACAGATGACAATTTCAAGAGTATGAAAAAAGATTTTAATGTAAATTTGAGCACCTCTCCCCTTTACAATATTTCATACAAATATAATTTCTTTTAAAATACATACTTACACATTTAAGTTTGTTTTTTCTTTAAAATTTTGAAAATATAAGTAACTGAAATTACCTAGTCTTGAATCAAGTATTTCTCAAGCATCTCTAGTGTAATTAGTTAAAAATTACTCAAACCAAGATATACCCATTTCCCTCCTACCTCTAACCCTCCTTATACCTTGGATACCATTAATCTGTTCTGCATCCCTATAACTTTTGGCATTTCAGTATACTATATAAATAGAATCATACAGCATGCAACTTTTAGGACTGGATTTTTTTTTTTTTTTTAAATTCTGCATGTTGGAAAATATGGCCTTGGTGATAGAAATAACACTGAAGATCACATGATATAATTTTGCAAGACCAACAACTTATTCATCGTAAATACCTTTTTCAACAACACAAATGGTGGCTATACACATGGACTTTGCCAGATGGAGAAACACAGGAATCAGATTGACTACATCTCTGGCAAGAGGCAGTGGAGAAGCTTGACATCTTCAGCCAAAACAAGATCAGGAGCTGATTGTGGAACATACCATCATCTGCTCATATGCAAGTTCAAGCTGAAGCTGAAGATAATTAAAAGTAGTCCATGAGAACCAAAATATGATTTTGATTATATCTCTCCTGAATTTAGAGACCATCTGAAGAATAGATTTGATACATTGAACACCAGTGACCAAAAGCCAGAGAAATTGTGGGATGACATCAAGCACATCATCCATGAAGAAAGCAAAAGGTCATTGAAGAGACAGGAAAGGAAGAAAAGACCAAAATGGATGAGAGAAGAGACTCTGAAAGTTACCCTTGAATGGAGAGTAGCTAAAGCAAATGGAAGAAATGACAAGATAAAAGAACTGAACAGATTTCAAAGAACAGCTCGAGAAGACAAAGTCAATTATAATAATGAAATGTGCAAAGACCTGGAATTAGCAAACCGAAAGGGAAAATCACACTCAACATTTCTCATGCTGAAAGAACTGAGGAAAAATTTTAAACTTTGAGTTGCAATACTGAAGGGTTTTATGAGCAATATATTGTATGATCAGGAAACATCAAAAGAAGATGGAAGGAATATACAGAGTCACTATACCAAAAAGAATCGGTAGATGATCATCCATTTCAGGAGGTGGCATATGATCAAGAACCAGTGGTATTGAAGGAAGAAGTTGAAGTTCAGCTGAGAAATTGGCAAAAAAAAAAAAAAAGTCTCCAGAAATTAATGGAATACCCATTGAAATGTTTCAATAAATGGATGCTGTGCTGGAGGCACTCACGCAGCTATGCCAAGATATCTGGAAGGCAACTGACTGGAAGAGATCCATATTTGTACCCATTCCGAAGAAAGGTGATCCCCACAGAATGTGGAAATTATCAAACAATATCATTAAGATCACACACAAGTAAAATTTTGCTGAAAATAATTCAAAAACATTTGGAGCAATATATTGACAGAGAACTTCCAGAAATTCAAGCTGGATTCAGAAGAGGATGTGGGATGAGGGATATCATTGCTAATGTCAGATCTTAATGTTTTGGCTTAAAGCAAAGAATACCAGAAAGATGTTTCCTTGTGTTTTCTTGACCATGCAAAGGCATTTGACTGTGTGGATCATGACAAATTATGGATAACATTGAGAAGAATATGGATTCCAGAATAAGTAATTGTGTCCATGAGGAACCTGTACATAGCCAAGTTTGTTCAAACAGAACAACGGAATGATCCATGGTTTAAAATCAGGAAGGGTGTGTGTCAGAGTAGTATCCTTTCACCATATTTGTCAAACTGTATGCTGAGCAAATGCTTTGAGAAGCTGGACTACATGAAGAAGAATGTGGCATCAGGATATGAGGAAGACTCATTAACAACCTGTGATATGCAGATGACACAACCTTGCTTACTGAAAATGAAGATGACTTACTGATGAAGATTTAAAAATACAGTCTGCAATATGGATTATACCTCAACATAAAGAAAGTGAAACTCCTTACAACTGGACCAATAAGCAACATTACCATAAATGGAGAAGGAATTAAAGTTTCAAAGATTTCATGTTATTTTGTTCTACAACCAACACCAATGGGAGCAGCAGCCAAGAAATTAGACATTGTGTCACACTAGGCAAATCTGCTGCATAAGAACTCTTTAAAGTGTTGAAGAGCAAAGATGTGTCCTTGAAGAATAAAGTGTGCCTATCCCAAGCCATGGTGTTTTCAATTGCCTCATATACATGAGAAATCTGGACAATGAATAAGAAAGACTGAAGAAGAGCTGAGGCTTTTGATTTGTTGTGTCTTTGAAGAATACTGAAAATACCATGGTCTGCCAGAAGAACTAACAAATCAGTCCTGGAGAAAGTACAGCTGGTATGTTCCTTGGAAGCAAGAATGACCAGACTTCATCTCACCAACTTTGGTCATGTTGTCAGAAGGGAACATTCCCTAGAGAGGGATATCATACCTGGTAAAGTTGAGGGTCAGAGAAAATGGGAAAGACCTCTATCAAGATGGATTGACA